AAGGAAAAAACTATTCTATATCTAGAAATTTCTTCAAAACAAATATATAAAGAAAAGGTCCTTTAGAAAAAAGGTGTTAGGGGGGGGGGGATGTACTCCCTAGGCCCCCCGGTGCCCTCGGTCTAGGTATAGTACTTCCAAACATGAAACAAACTTTAAACACTTTGTATGTTTATAATTATGTCAAATAAAAATGCTTTTCAAAAAATTGTGAAGCCTGGGATCCAAAAAGTCTTAAAATTTGGACCACAACTGCCCCAAACGTGGGGACAACAATTTATAAATAAATAATGCAAGGTTATAGTTGTGGTTTTATATATAAAAAAAAGGAATTCAGTATAAAGTTGCATTGTAAAAGACTTCTAATTGATTGTTTCTAAAATAAACATTGTCTATCTTTTTTTAAAATTTATTAATTGTTTCTTGATTTACTTTTTGTGAACTTAGCTTATTCCAATTGTTTACAATTTTGTTGGTAAAAAAAATGTTCTTGTAAAAATGATTTTATGATCTGCTTTGTGATGGAGTGCTGATTTCTTAAAAGCTTTTTTTTTTGATATTAAAAAGGTTTCTAAAGATAATTCCTAATCTTTTTAACCGGTCTTCATAGCTGTAATTTCTTAATTCATTAATAATTTTTGTGGCTCTTCTTTTTATGCTTTCTGCAGTTTTAATGTCACCTTTTAAGTACGGACACCAGACAGGCACTGCATATTCCAAATGAGGTCTTACTAATGATACAATTGTCTTATTACAATTTTGTTATTACTTTTGAAGGTTTTCCTTATTAATCCTAAAAAACAGTTTGATTTATAAGTTGCAGTTGCAATATGTTCCTTCCATTTAAGGCTTTTTGTGAACAATATACCCAAGTCTTTTTTCTTTTCAGTTTCTATTTTATGTTTATTTAGTTTGTAGCTATAATTCTGGTTATTTTGAGCGAAATGCATTACATTTTTCCTCATTGAAAGTTATAGACCATATTTTAGCCCATTCCCATATATTATTAACAACATTTTGTAAATTTAAATGGTTTGTTTTATTAGAAACAGCAGCTAATATCTTTGTGTCATCTGCAAACAGTTTGCAGTAACATGTAATATTGCCTAACATATCATTAATATATATAACAAATACTCCGCTAGTTACCTGTATTTAATAAAATATTTATTTTACTATTCTCAACTAAAGTTATATTTATCTATAAATTTTAAATTTCATAGTATAATCTATGAGCGTTCAAAAATTATGACCATATAAAGTTTAAATATAACTTAAGTTGAAAATAGTAAAAAAAAATATAATAATAAATTAATTTTATGTCATGTAATATATTTAATCATATGTCCAAAAATTTTATTTCATATATATTCATATATATATATATATATATATATATATATATATATATATATATATATATATATATATATATATATATATTATATATATATATATATATATATATATATATATATATATATATATATATATATTTATCCTCAGATGTTGTTAGAATATATATATATATATATTTATCCTCAGATGTTGTTTTTAATTATCCTCAGATGTTGTTAGAAATGGTATTCGAAAACAACCGATAAAGAAAAAGGAATTTAAAACGAATAATCGGATTTTAGGTTCTTCTGATTCCAATAAGCGACTTAAACCTACACAGAACGACCTGTCTAAAAGAAATGTTGATATTTTTGTTTCACGACTAGATCCTCTAACTACAGAGAAAGATGTTATTGATTGCACCTATGATATTTTACAAATTGAAAATGATCACTCTGTAAAATGTGAAAAGTTAAAGTCTAAATATCCTGGATACTCTTCATACTATATATCTGTTTCTGTTGACCATTCTTAGTTAAAAAGTAAAGTAGATTGTCTAATGAAGCCTGGCCAAATGGTCTACTTGTAAGAAGATATTTTAAACCCAAAAATTACCAACAATAATAGCTTATCAGTTTGTTCCTTCAACTGTCGCTCATTTAAAAAAAGTGTTTTTGCTATAAAGAACATGTGTAATGAATATGACTTTATTTTGCTCCAAGAGCATTGGTTATTGCCCTATGAGCTTGGTTTATTAAATAATGTTCATAATGAATTTTATGGTCCTGGCTTATCTGCTGTCAATATTTCATCTGATATAATGATTGGAAGACCATATGGTGGTACAGCCATATTATATTGTAAAGATCTTGCTAAAGGTATTCAAATTATTGAATCTTCGAATCCTGAATCTCGTGTTTAAAAATTGTCTTAAATATTGGTCCTATGCTGTTACTAAATGTATACATGCCAACAAATTATAACGATGAGCATAGTCTCCATAATTACATTGATTTATGCTCAAAAATAAAGTCTATTATAGCTGAGGCAGATGTTATTCATATTATTATTGCTGGCGAATCAATTGTGAAGAAGGGTATAGATTTTTTGATGAGTTCTCAAATCTCGCAACGGAAAATAGTCTAATTAAATCCGATATTAATTGTATAAACAACACTTACATATGTTAGCGATGATGGAAATAATGTCTCTTGGTTAGATCACGTTCTGTGCAGCCCAACAATTGATAATCTGATAATAGATATTTCAGTTCTAACAGATATTATAGCATCAGATTATAAACCAATAACGCTCTCTTTTTCTTGCTCATTGGAAAATACAACCAAAATAAAAAATAACTATCCTTATCTGAAATTATCTAGTAATAATACTAAATGGCAGACTTGTAATGACAAGTCATTATCCTTTTATGAGAAAAGTTTAGACCTCTTATTACAATCTATATATGTACCATTTAACTTGTTTACTGATGACATAGGAGTAACCTATAGGGTTGATGTTTATATAGACTTATTTTATAGTGACCTCATGAATTGTATTCAATCTGTTGTGACTGACACTATACCACACAGCAAGGGCAACAGTATAAATTCTGAATTTAACACTCCTAGTTGGAACAATTTTCTTAAAGACAAGCATAAAATTGCTAGAGATGCATTTAAACTATGGATTTTGCATGGGAAACTAAAACATGGTGATCTTTTTGAGAAAATGAAGAGTACTCGTGCCACCTTTAAACTAGCTATGAGACACTTTAAGAGACATAGTGAGCAAATAAAAGCTGATAAGTGTGTGGGAAATTTTTATAACACCAAAAATGTTTTGGAGCAGTATAAATCATAATACTAACTAAAATGCGGTGAGTTACGTTGCTAGTTTGGGAGGAGCCTCGGGAGACAATGATATAGCTTATATGTAGAGAGATCTCTTTCAAACAATATATAAGTCTATAAAAAATACTGAGTACAAAGACCACTTTGCTGAGAAAATCCAGCTATTTAAACAAGGTAATTTAGATATTAACATAAATATCAATGATGTTATCGCATCGATAAAAAATCAAAAATCAGAAAAAGCAGCTGGTCCTGATGGTATATGTATGAAAGCTTTTATATATGGTGGGAAAAGATTGCATCTTCTAATTAGTATGTTTTTTAATCTCTGTTTAAGACATGGATATTTACCATCCAAGTTCTGTGAATCTTCGATTATTTCTTTGGTGAAGTGCAAAGTGGCCAACCTAACTATTACAGGGCAGTTGCATTATCCCCAGCTATATCCAAAATATTTGAAAATATTTTGTTACAAAAAATAAATATACCAGACAATTTAGATGATTATCAGTTTGGTTTTAAACTGAAGCATTCTACAACCTTATGCACAAATTATTTAAAGAAAGCTATTAATTACTACACATCTAGAGGTAGTCATGTGTTTACATCGTTTATAGATTTTAATAAAGCATTTGATAACGTTGATTACTGGCTTCTGTTCTGTAACCTATTAGATCAAGGAATGTCAAAAAATATTGTAAGTGTGCTTGCATTCTGGTACAGCAACCAGGAAATGTGTATTAGTTGGCAGAAAGCTAAATCTCCTGCTTTTAGTATAGGAAATGGTGTGCGACAAGGTGGTGTTTTCTCACCGTTACTATTTAGGTTTTACATTAGTAATCTTGTATTTAAATTTTCAAATATGCATATTGGTTGCAATATAGGAGGAATTTTTCTCAATATTCTTGCTTATGCTGATGACATAGTAATTATAGCTCCATCATGGTTGTCTCTACAGAAATTATTGAATGCAATTAATACCGAGGATTTACTAATTAATATGTCTTTTAACACAAAGAAGACAGTTTGTATGGTTTTTAACCTAAAGCAAAAATCAAAAATTGTGTTGTTGTCATTTCCAAAATTGAGTGTAGCAGGTTGCAATCTGGAATTTGCTGACAGCTTTAAATACCTTGGTCATATTGTGAGAAATGATCTAGCAAATGATACTGATATAAAAAAAGAGATTAAAAATCTATATACTCGAACAAATATGCTAATAAGGCACTTTTAAAGGTGTTCAAGCCTAGTCAAAGTAAGACTATTCCAATCACATTGTATATGTATATATAATGCTTCCCTATGGAACAGTTTTAGCACAAGAACATTAGCACACCTACAATTTTGCTATAACAAATGTTCAAAAATGTTTTTTGGATATAGAAAATATTGCAGTCTGACTCAGATATTTTTAGAGTTAAGGCTCCCAACTTTTGAGACTATATTTATTTAACTATAGGATCAATTTAAAGAAACAGCTAGTTCAGTGTGCCAAAAGAAACCTCACTTTCGGTTTAATTAGCAGAATATTAGGACTGTCCAAATGATGGATAACTATAGATGACTGTATCTGTTCTTTTTATTGACTATTCTTTTATTTATTTTTATCTATGGACCTTGTGCCTATTTATATGTACATGTTGTTTGAATTAAATACATTAATAAATAAAATAAATAATATATATATATATATATATATATATATATATATATATATATATATATATATATATATATATATATATATATATATATATATATATATATATATATATATATACATATATATAAAGTTTATATTTAACTTAAATCTTAGATGTAAGTGTTTATTATAATTATTGTCTCCACTACACATATTGATGTGATGTAAAATGCTTAGTTGTGAAGAAGAAATAGATAAAAATCAAAAATCTGCTTATGACTTACTAAAAGAAGAGGAATTTCTAACACCTATAGTTACATTTTCTGCTGCTTTTGATAACATGATTGGAGGTGGTATTCCCATTGGAAAAATTACTGAAATTTGTGGTGCTCCTGGTACAGGAAAAACCCAATTTGGGTAAGATTAAATTAAATTACATGTGTTTTTTTCTTTTAAGCTTAAACTTGAATGAATCGCTAACTTGAAAAAGGGGACATGTCCTGCAAAAATTCACATAACATGTCTCCTTTTGCAAGTTAGCGATTCAAATATGAAATAACATTCTTTATTTTTCATGGTTTACTAAATTTAAATATCATTTAAGGAAGTTGACTACTTCACACATTTTTTTTTACATTTTTTAATACTTTTTTGCTTTCAGAGGTTCAATAATTAAGTTACACAGAGCTCCTTACAAAAAGTTTTTTTACATCTGATTTCAGAAATCTCTTATTTTCTTATTGGCTTATCAAAATTATTCATTAATAGCTTCTTACTTGTTGAATATATACCTCCAATTTTATTTACTTTAGTATCATTGTGAACTATTTAGTTTTAATTGCCTAAATTTAAATTAAACATTGAATACATTAAAGGACATTTTGCAAATACATTACAAGAAGTACTTGGATACAACTTGTCAATTAGGAATTTAGTTTTTTTTTTTTTCATTTTAGAATACAAATTGCAGTTAGTGCTCAAATACCAACTTTATTCGGAGGTATTGGGGGTGAAGCTTTGTTTGTAGGTAAATCTTATACTTGATGAGAAAAAAAAGAAAGTTTATATATAATTTGTTTTCAGTAATCTTATTAGTGCTTGTAATTATTTAAAAAAAATTTAGTCTAAATTTTTATTAAAGTTTTAATTTTTTGTTCAACAGACACTGAAGGAAATTTTATTACAGAGCGTGCTTTAGAAATTGCAGAAGCTGCATCAAAACATATTCAAGATATTGCCATGGAAGAAAGTGGTTGTTAACTTAATATTTTTTATAATTTGTTATTATATATATATATATATATATATATATATATATATATATATATATATATATATATATATATATATATATATATATATATATATAGGCTTGGACAAGAATGGTGTTTGGTTGCACACTGTAACTGACAATACTTATAATATATTTTCTTTACAAATTAACCACGGCAGTTTTGATGTTTTAACAATTTAAATGCTATAAAAATAAATTGTTATGTTATATATAACTTTTAATCGTTGATCTTTTCTTAAGTTTTCATTTTATGTGAAGGCTTTAAATAAAATAAATAATTATAGTGATTGTTTAAAATAAAGTATTTTATTTCACTATAACATTTTATTATCTGTAAATTAACAAATGTTATATGTAAATTTTTTTTATGTAGGCATGTTTTTTTTATGATAAATTTAAATATAATAATTTGCTTGAAAATATTTTTCCATTTCTATCTAAAAATCTTCTAGAAGATAAGTTACTATATTTTTTAAGTATACTTTTTAAGTTACTTAAATTATGAATAAGTTAAATTAAATCTTCCTTTGATATGGAATGATTTAATTGCTTTATTTTTTTAATTTCTATTTTTACAAAGAATTGTTTAAAACCTTTTTTTTTTAACTTGACTTTTTTTTTTAACTAATCAGAGCATGAAATGATTAAAAATTACTATTTTTAATAGACTATTTTTTTTAACAATTTTTTCTTTTTGAAATTTTTTGGAAAAAATAATTATTTTTACCAAAAAATGTTTATATAGATTTTTATACAATTTAATAAAATATAGCAAAAACATTTGCTCAAAAATATAATCTTTTTTGTACTTAAAAATAGAAAATAAACTTTTTAATTTAAATTTAATAGTTCAGTAAACTAAAGATTGACAGGTCTGCGCAAGATTTATTTAGAGACATACCTGTCATACCTGTCAATCTTTAGTTAACTGAACTATTAAATTTAAATTAAAAAGTTTATTTATTTATTTTTTAGTTCAAAAAAGATTATATTTTTGAGCAAATGTTTTTGCTATATTTTATTTTCTACTTTTTAGTCTTTACAAAAAGTTACGCTATATTAATATTAAAACAAAAGCTTTTTTTTTTTAAAGTATTTTTAAAAATTAAAAAAAAAATACCAACCCACAAGCAATCTTAGCCAATTTTAAAGATGAAAAGATTTGTTTATAAAAAAGAAAAAAGTATATTATTAAAAAAAAAAAAATTACAAACCCACAAGCAATACAAACTTTTTTTAAAAATGAAAAGATTTGTTAATGAATAAAGATTTCTTTTAAAAATAAACCCACAAGCAATATAGCAGCAATATACCACAATACCAGCAATATAGTAGCTAATATCTATATAAAAGGTTAGTTTCTTTTTATGCTATGGATGACAAAGAAAGTTAAGGAATAATTAATATATATCCTTATAAAGTCTACAAACCAAAACCAAAGCTAGAATATTTTGAAACAGAACAATTTTCCAAAACGCTAGGACAACAAAATGTCTCAGTACTACAAAACAACAATTGAAATATTAGGCAAAAAAGGGTCCCTTTTTAACATCAACAAAAATTTTTTATTTAGAAGTGGCAAAAAACAAAAAGACAGTCGTGCCAGCAGAACTTTTCTGGAACGGTTCAACAAAAACAACAATGCCACGGCCCCAAATTTGGAGAAAGAACTTTACCTTCCACGCATGCGAACCAACACAAAACATCCTCTTTCGATTTTTACACAGCAGTCTACCTTCTGCGGCCTTGCTAGCCGAAAGCATAAGGCAACAGATCGTTAAAAACAAATGCAAAACTTGTGGTAAAGTCGAGGATAATCTCCACATATTTGCCTATTGTTCTCCCTCTATTGAAATATGGGAGTATTTTAAACATGTATATAACGAGAAACCTTTTTTAAACATCTAACTCTTCAACCTTATCTAATCTCTCGACTTTTCTCCGCACAACGTCACTTAACAAAAAAAAATCAAAAAAAACAAATACAAAATCAAAAAACACAAAAAAATACATTATCAAAAAATACAAAAAAACATAAAATTAAATTAAAAAAAAAAAATTCATATCAAGTAACTCTTTAAGTCTTTGTCGGTTCGACTAACAGCGCTATTGCACCTTCTAACATCATGTGCAATTCCTGTCTACTGTCTCTATGCCATCTTTCTAACACGGCTACTTCTGTCTTATGCTCTAATATATCTTTGTTCTTCCCAAACTTACCTTACTCTTGGTCCGTAGAGCAGGTAACGACGCTCCTTAAGGAGTTGAACTTGTCTTTGTGGGTCTTGGTAATGTCGCCCCCACAAGTCAATTAGCTGGCGGAGGATAAACCTCAATGCAATATCAGTGAGTGAAAGAAAAGATTATAAAAATAATATATATAACACTTTTTAGTAATTTAAATAAAATTTGTTCATTTATTAAACAATCATTAGAAGTAATTTGTAAAAGTGTTTTGCATAACTCTAATAAAATGTTTCAAAATATAAGTTTTAATGTAACTTTAATAAAAGGTTTCAAAAGATAAATTTTTAAGTTATATATTTTAAATGCAATTAAAAATGTAACAAAAAGTAGTTTTCGCTTTTGTTACATTTTTAATGGTTAAGTTTTTTGAGTTTTATTTTAGTGTTTATATATTTTCTTTTTCGTAAGGAATTTATTAATTATTTTTTTTTTTAATTTGTTTTTTTTCATTATTATTTTTTAAATTTTTCTTCCTAGTTTAAGTTTAGCTAGCATTTCTTTTTTCAGCACATTTATAAAATGTTTAAAAATCATCTAAACATCTATACAGAAGTGGTCAAGTTGTCAAAAAATAAAATCATTTATGTGGTCAGCAATAGCGCTCGATCACACTCCATTCCTTTTCAAGCCTATATATATATATATATATATATATATATATATATATATATATATATATATATATATATATATATATATATATATATATATATATATATATATATATATATATATATATATATATATATATATATATATATATATATATATATATATATATATATATATATTAGGGTGTCCCAAAATGACATGAATTTTTTTAGTTTTTAACTATTTCTAGATTTTCAAACAGTTTCATATGTATTTTTATTTACTAAAAGCAAAAAAAAAAAAAAAAATCAAAAAATTTTCATATTTGACCCCCCCGCCGCTCTTTTTTTTGTGTTTTTTTTCTAAAAAAATGACACAAAGGACTAAAATTATTTTTGATAATCAACTATGTTCGTATTTTATATAATTTTCTTGTGTAATTTTGTTTGATAAAACATAATCAATAGTTATTTTCAAAAAAAAATTCATATTTGACCCCTCCCCCCTCATAACCCCTTTAATGTGTTTTTGCCCTAAAACAATCCTTAATATACTCCTTTTATATATCTATTATTTATATCCAATATAATTAACTGTTATTATAATTTCAAATAGTTTTGTAATAAATAAAAATGAAAATTTATTAAAAATAAATTTTCACCTGGTTTATGACCCTCCCCCCCCCCATCCTTTCTAATATTACCTTTGTCGTATGATTTTTTTCTGCCTAAATAAGGAATTTTATAAATTATAATTTTTAATTAAAACAAAAAATTTGATAAATACTCAATTATTAAACAAAGAAGGATAGAAATGATTGGTATAAGTTAACAATATTAAAGCACAATGGGAATAAGTACTAAGAAGTTCAAAATCTCATTTTTTTTAAATTATAACAACAAAATAACAATATTTTAAAGGTATAATAAAAAAGAGATTTTTTAAAGCATATTTTCAAAAATTAAGTTTTTGAATTGCTTGTTTATTTATGTGAGGAAGAACTTTTCGGTGGTGTTCTACTGCACGTAAAAGAAATTCTTTCTGCTCATCATCTTTTGTAATAGATGTTGCATAGTCTTGAATTAGTTTTACAGCTCGTTCTGCTGTATCGTTTACAGATTTCAGTGATTTGATATGCTCAAACATGTGATTAAAATTTGTGTTAGTTTTCCAAAACTTTGGGGATTCTACCAACCAACCGCCATCCTCATTTGAATATCCGAATAAATTTAGAATGTTACTTGATTTTGGTCCAATTAAATCAGTCAAACAAGTACTCTGCTTCAGAAGAGGAAATTGTGGAAAGCCTATATCATGTTCACAGTTTTCTTTTATATTTTTCAGAATTATTTTAGCCATTTTAGTTTTATCTCGATCAGATACCTTATCAGAAAATAATGAAAGAGGGGACATTTCTTCAGTTAAATACCAAAGATGCCGATTAAATGTTTCCAGGGCAGCAACAGCAACATCATTGTCAATTTTTTTATAAATAAGCATTTCTTTGTAGAATTCCAGGTCATTAAATGGAGCATCGACTGTGCTTGTGCACGTAAGCCATATTTTCACATAAAATAGTAAAGTAAATTTACAAAACCTTGACAATTTCTCTATAAAACTTTCTTCATACTCTGCCAGGTCAGCAAAAGCAAACATCTTTGATGTGTACAAGATTGTACACATCCATCTAGCATGATGGAAGGCTCCAGGTTTGTGCCACTGTATATTTATTTGTTTTGGATTGAGTAATTGCAAAGCAAGTTGACAACATTCTCGATAATCATCTCTTAATATTTTTCGAGATTTCCGGTTAAGTAAACCAGACAAAAAAATTATTACTTCTGCTTTTTTGGTCTTTAATACTGGTTCTTCGATCTTTATTTTTCTAAAAGTAGTATCTGAAGTTAATGAAAGCTTAGGCCATACCTCATTTTTAAAGTGTCTAAATGGCTCATAATTTGGAGATCTGCATTCTCCAAAAACTTTGAAGTAAACAGATGACAAAACTCTTTCAAAAATATGGTGTCGGCAGGCGCACCAAAGTAACTTTTTGTTAAAGTGTTCTTCAATTAACTTTGCAGAACCATTTATCCAACCTGAATTTGATGGAGTTGTGTCAAAAATCATTGCCACAAGTGTTTTTTCCAGTTTCCATGTCTTTACAGCATCTATGGTAGCTGTTGCCTGACTTCGCCCAGTTGTATCAGGAATCCTGGATACACACAACAATTTCCCTTCAGGTGCACTTGGTTTTCCTGTTACAACAATAGCCAAACGTTCCACTTTACCATCGACCTCAGATACCAGCTTTGAATCCCAGTGAATGGAAGAGTACATGGGTGAAATGAATGTTTTCTTAAGATCATTTGAAACTTGCTGTCGAATTTTATTACCTGATCTGTACGCTGTGCTTTTTGAGATAGATATTTCATCTAAATTGTGACCTAATGCTTCAGCTACAGCTAAAATGATTCCAGATCTTTCTCTGTTGGATAGATTCAACCTATCAGCCATTAAGGAAACTTTAGGGTTTTCTAATATCTTGATTTTTTTTTTCTGTCTAGCAATAGTACTTTCTTCATTTTTATTATGAGTTTTGCCTTCATTATCAAATGCTGCCAATACATTGAAGCTTTTTTCTTTTATGTTTTCTTTTCTAGATTTCTCTTTTTCAATAGCCTTGATTTTATTTTTCTCTTTTTCCTCCATTCTTTTCACTTTCATAGCATAACTCTTGTCTAATGGGCCCAAAAATTGCTTTTTTAAGTGACGTTGATCTGAGAGAAAGTCTATATCTGAGATCTGACTATTGATACTACGCAAGGTATCTTTTCTTATCAAATTTTCGGCATTTGATGCTGCAATATCAAACAATAATGATAGTTTATTAGTAAAACTCAGAAGTTGAGCTGCATAACATTTTTTTTTTGCATTTTTAATCAAGTTCTCTCTAAGATGAATCAGATGTAGTATCATTCTGACAATATCTTTCTTCTGTTTTATTGGAATTCCTGCCATTTTCCAAAAAACATAAACTTTTTCCCAAACTACAGATGCAACTTCTTTTTTACCAGTTAATTTCAATTCAAATCTTGTAAGATAAAGATAATGGCGTACAACATCTCCATTTGTTGGTAGCTGACTATACATCTTTGCTTCAAGGGTAGGTAATAATTTACCAACAATATTATCAAACTTCTCATCATTTTTCCTCAATTTACAATTGCTCATAACTGATCAAATATTTTTTATATATGCTATTATATCTATAGATAAAAAAGTAGCTATAAATTATAAAATTATTTGAATAATGTATGTAACATTAATATTCATCATAAAAAATTTTCTCATCTCAAGCATTGAATAATAATATTTAATAATTTTTGAGAATCGTTGAATTGAAACAAATTATATTTACTAATATTAGCTATGATACATAGTTTAGAATTATAATAGTGATCAATATTGATACAAAACATATTTAATACATTTATATATTTAGCCTAAAATCAGTTTAAAAGTGAATAATTTTGAAAAAGTGGGCGGCAGAGGGGGTAAAAACTTTAAAAGAAGGGCGGGGGGGTCAAACTTCAAAATTTTTCAAAAATCTTCTTATTTTCACTTTTAACGGACAAAACTACACACAAAACTAAAGGAAAAAAAAAATTTTTTTTTTTTGGGACACCCTAATATATATATATAGGCCTTGTGATAAAGTGAGAACAATCGCTCCACGCACGTGAAACATGCCCATAAACGACCTTCCGGGTGCAACAAACAGCGCTCGCTAGTTTTGTTGTGAGAGTAAAATATCGCTCTCGTCTAAAGAACAGAGAAAATTATAAGTTGATATTATAGAAAATATTATTAGTGAAATTTTTTTGCTGAAGTCAAAACATGTTTAAACAGTTTAGTTTGTATATTGTTAAATAAAGAAGTTATATTTGTAATAATGCACATCACGCATAATTTATGCTTGACTTACTTCAATTTTAATTTATGCGGTATGAGGTGTTAGAACTTTGAATTGCATTAAAGTCCATGTAATCAAATATCAAAACTTGCAACACTTTAATGAAAATTCCAAACATGTTAAAAAATTCCAAAATGTTAAAAAATTAAATATCTAGCGTAATATTTATAATTATCTAGTGTAATGTTTATAATTATTTAATAAATAAATATCTAGCGTAAAAAGTTTACCCAATTAAAATTTCATTTAAAGCTTCAATTTCCTACAGGTTCTATCACATTCTTTTAGTTAATGACTATTATATTTAAAATTCAAAAACATTAAAACGTTGGAATATCAAATGTTTTTTTATCAAATATAAGTTAATATAAAACTAAATGTTTTCCCTGGTATCTTTGAATCAGGTTAACTTATATTTAAGTCTATTTATTAAAAAAGTTAAAGCTAAACACAACTTAAAATTACAAAAATAAAGTTTCAATAAACAATACCTATAGCAAATATATTTGTTATATAACTTTGAATTAAAACTTTTAGAAGCATGCTCACAAACAACAAAAGAAAAAATGTCACTAGTTTCACAAATGAATTTCTCAAAATATACATCAGTATATAAGCTATTTATATATTATAATTGTATAAGTATATATATACTTACACTAATATATATTATATTAGTATAAGTCTATTATATATTTATTAAGTATATAATCAAGTGTATAAAATATTATTCACTTGATAATATTGAAATGGCACATTCAGTTTAAATTAGAAAGCAGTTTTCTATTTCATACATACAATGAATGAAAAGTTATGAAGTAATTACTCTTAACAGATAGAATGGAATGTTTACTATTTTCAAAAGGTTTAGTTCCAATGAGAATAGAAAATTTAAATTAAAAAAATAAAACTTGATTGAATTTTAAAAATTCAAAAGTTTAATCCACAAGATTTTGTAAAAACATAAGATTCTTTTGCTTTATTGTTTTTAATTTTTTACAAATCTTTTGTAAATAAAAGAAATATTCTTTTTTTTTATCTTCTTTTTTTTTTTAACTATTATTTATTTGAAATTAAATTAAAAACATTTCAGTTGTTTAAAATGTCTGCATTCAAGCATGTTAGTTGAACTCTAAAAAGGAAACAAAGTCATGTAGTCATCTTTTAGTAAATGACAATATTTCATTGTTTTTATTTAATATCAACATTTTTTTCTGGTAGATAGACAAATGCATTATCTAAAAAATCAAAGCTTTTTTGTCTGATTTCCAGGACTTCGCATGAAAAAAAAAATCAAACAAAAAATTGTCGCTTTTCCTTGTACACACTGGTATGCTTTTGAGTGACCCCCTCCCCATGCTTGTGTACGTAATTTATGGATGGCCCCATGGTAACCAATTTCCAACTCTGAATATCACACTTGAAGGCTTAATGCTGTGTGCGCATAATCATGTTTGTTGATATCGTATTTCAGTATTAGAAGCGCAAAATATCGGGCTGGGCGATTTTATTCATCACATGCACTGTATATATGTATATATATGCTCACTCCTAGTCGGCGTTTACAGGGACATGTTTTTTTATTCCTGTAATAGTTTTTTTTTACTTTTTTTTTACTATTTTCATCATATTTATATAATTTTTATTTTATTTTTATTTTTATTTATACATATTTAAATTTATTATTTTATAATTAAAATATATTTTTTATATTTGTTTTTGTTATTCTTATTTGTTATATATTATATTTCTTTAATTTTTTTTTATCAATTTACAAAAACAATTAATTACAGTAATATAACGATATTTAAACCTTGCCATAACCCTAACCCTAAGCCTGACCCTAACCAAACCCTTAATTGATGTAGCAGCACTCTATTGTGAGTCAAGCTATTTGATAGTTGATGTATGTACTTTAGGCTCTTTGTAAATGTTGCTTATGGGGACATTTTTTTTATCCAATAAAACAATGCTTCCGGGGACATAAAATTAACGGGTACACAAAAATGTCCGCAATAATGTCCCCATAAGTATTCATTTTTTTGTAAAATCTGTCCTTGTAAGTGATACTATAGGTTTATATATATGTGTATGTGTAAATATATATATAACATTTATAATGGTTTTTATTAGAATTAAGCAATGCTGCTTTTGGCTTTACCAAACACTGTATAATGAATGGTATCCATGTTGCACGTTGTCTTAACTATAATGATTTAATGGCACTGTCTTATATTTTATCAGATATAATTCTTCGACATCCAAAAGTATGTATAGAACTAGCTAAAGATTACAGTTAACAATTAAGTTTTTGATAAAGTTTTTGTTAGTTTTTTTAAATTTCTACTCTTTTTTAATAATGAGAAAATTATTTTCTCATTTTTAAAAAAATAATTTTTAAAAATGAGAAAATGGATAGTAATATGATTGTCATCTTGGATTTTATGAATAAGAACATATTACAAAATCTATTTAAAATTTAGATTATTGCTGCACTTTTTAACATATAAACCAGGAAAATTATCAACTCAATGCCAATTTTGAAGATTTTTTTTATCCAACTCAAACTAAATTTTTCAACTGCTATTCTAAAGATACTATTGGCCTTTATGATTTAAACTGGGATTTAGGCTCCTCAGCACTGCTTATACTTTTTAAATTGGTTTAGTTTTTGGTATTAAAATGATAAATAACTCAAATATTTACGACCTTCCGGGTGCAACAAACAGCGCTCGCTAGTTTTGTTGTGAGAGTAAAATATCGCTCTCGTCTAAAGAACAGAGAAAATTATAAGTTGATATTATAGAAAATATTATTAGTGAAATTTTTTTGCTGAAGTCAAAACATGTTTAAACAGTTTAGTTTGTATATTGTTAAATAAAGAAGTTATATTTGTAATAATGCACATCACGCATAATTTATGCTTGACTTACTTCAATTTTAATTGAAGTAAGTCAAGCATAATGTCCCCATAAGTATTCATTTTTTTGTAAAATCTGTCCTTGTAAGTGATACTATAGGTTTATATATATGTGTATGTGTAAATATATATATAACATTTATAATGGTTTTTATTAGAATTAAGCAATGCTGCTTTTGGCTTTACCAAACACTGTATAATGAATGGTATCCATGTTGCACGTTGTCTTAACTATAATGATTTAATGGCACTGTCTTATATTTTATCAGATATAATTCTTCGACATCCAAAAGTATGTATAGAACTAGCTAAAGATTACAGTTAACAATTAAGTTTTTGATAAAGTTTTTGTTAGTTTTTTTAAATTTCTACTCTTTTTTAATAATGAGAAAATTATTTTCTCATTTTTAAAAAAATAATTTTTAAAAATGAGAAAATGGATAGTAATATGATTGTCATCTTGGATTTTATGAATAAGAACATATTACAAAATCTATTTAAAATTTAGATTATTGCTGCACTTTTTAACATATAAACCAGGAAAATTATCAACTCAATGCCAATTTTGAAGATTTTTTTTATCCAACTCAAACTAAATTTTTCAACTGCTATTCTAAAGATACTATTGGCCTTTATGATTTAAACTGGGATTTAGGCTCCTCAGCACTGCTTATACTTTTTAAATTGGTTTAGTTTTTGGTATTAAAATGATAAATAACTCAAATATTTACCAAAATAATTTTAAGAAATACAATTTGGAAAAATCATTTTAAAATGTTGATTTTTTTTATAGGTGAAAGTTGTCATTGTGGATAGTATTGCATTTCATTTCAGACACGAGTTTGAAGATATGGGTTTACGTACACGATTACTTCATACTTTAGTTCAAAGTTTTATGAAAGTTGCATATGAGTACAAAATTGCAGTAAGTACAACCATTGCTTTAAATGTAACATGTTTCTTTATTCGCTTTATTATGAGCAATTAATATCTTTTAAACACAAGCAATATTGATATGTTGAAATGTTGTTTAAATTAAGAAAAATAAAATGAAATATGGCAGGTTATACAAAATGGAGGTGAAAAAATAATATAATAAGATAAAGCTATAGAGAGAAAAAAAATTGTTAGTTGTTAGTTGATGTTTTGTTGTTATATTTTCAGAAATGACTTTTTTTTTAGATTGTATTAATGAACCAAATGACAACAAAATTGACAGAAAGTTTTTCTGAGTTGGCTCCAGCTCTTGGTATGTTTATTGTTATCAGTATTGTGGTATAAATAAAGTTTATTTTTTATAGATGTTCGTTGTAAGAAATGCCTAAAGATTTTATTGAGTTATTTTTTTTTCCCTTTTTTTCGCAACACAAACAGTTAATTTTTTTATTATTTGGAACTCCATTTTAAGTAATATACAATTTTAAAGTATACTACTACAGCTGACTTGGTTGAATAGTTTTTGTGCAATTTAATTTTCAGTACACAAGCCTTCCCAGAAAATGCGTGCGGTTTTTGTTCTTGTCTACGCATGAGTGTTTTATTTTAGGCAACTTGGTCATGGGCGTTTGCAAGTTTTGTAATATTAAGCGTTGCAGAAAAAACTAAGTTAACATAATAAAATAATATGAATAACATAATAAAATAACATAATAAAAAAAATTATATATAAAAGTATATGCATGCATTACATAGGCATATTTATACAGGGACAATATATACTTGTTACATTAAAATTATACAAATAAATTTTACAAACAGATAGCAATTTATACTTTCACTTTCCTCTTTAGAAAAAAAACAAATAAAATATAGGAAAATCATTCTTTTAAATGTCAACTTAAAGACTGTTTTTATTTTGCTTTGCCTTATCTAATTTCATTGTTGAAAATAACAACCACTCTAAAGAAACAAAAATAAAAACAGTACACAAATTATTTAAATTATTAATTTTTTTAAACTTTTTCTATTTAAATTTATTTTAATTTCTCTGTTTTGTTAGTTTTGCTTTCTTTATTTTTGAAATTTATTTTTTTCTGCAACGCTTATTATAACAAAACTTGCAAATGGCCATGACCAAGTTGTCTAAAATAAAACACTCATGTGTGGAAATTAAGACGTAATTACAAAACAAAAGGAAATTACAAGACAAGAGGAAATTACAAGACGAAAAACCACATGCGTTTCCTGGGAAGGCTTGGTACACCTTTTTTTCTGTTTTCAGAAACTCTAATTTTTAGGAAATCAAATGAAAAAAAATTTAAATTTTTTTTATTATTGTAATAGATATCAATTATAGTTAGTTAATTCCTGGTCTAATCAAACCATCAGTTTTTCAAGTCCTTACTGGTTTTGTGTTTATGTGTATGTTTGATATATACACACACACACATATATATATATATATATATATATATATATATATATATATATATATATATATATATATATATATATATATATATATACACTTACTAAAGCGTGTTTTGATAAGCATTTGCTCACTTTTTCTGCTTACCTTAGGCTATACCAATTTTTTCGAAAGAGAAGAAAAAACGAAGAATGATGAATAAAACGATTGCTTCCCCATCCCAAACCCTCAGTCGATGTAGCAGCACTCCACTGCGAGTCAGGCTATTTGTCAGTCGATGTATGTGCTGAAGCCCCCAGCAGCAGGCTATTTCAGTATGACCTCAGATTGCTTACCATAGTACGCAATACTATTTGTATATATATATATATATATATATATTATATATATATATATATATATATATATATATACAGAGAGAGAGAGAGATATACACATGCACATACAGAGTGGATGGACAAATTATTAGGGACACTTTATATATATATATATATTTTATGCGGTAGTGGTGTAGTGGTAGAGCGCTCGCTTCATAAACGAGTGTTTCCGAGTTCGATCCCCACCACGTTCCTGGTAGTACCGCGCTCAACTCGTTTCTCTGCGCAGCAGCCTTGTTTGTCAAGGTTCGTGTTTCGGAGTTATAGAGTTGAGAGAGGGTTATAGCCACAAATAAGTAGCCTCCTCGTCTGTAGTGGCCTTCTCGGCCTTGAGGAGGTGAATTAAAATAAAAATAAATATATATATATATATATATATATATATATATATATATATATATATATATATATACACACATGCACATACACAGTGGATGGACAAATTATTAGGGACACTTTACTTTTTTACTAATTTTAAAGTTTAAACTACATAAATGAATAAATACATATCTGGTAGTTATTTTTTTATCAATTTTATCATTAAAGGGCTTCGTTTAAAGTATAAAACAGCATAATTACTTCTTCATAGCTGTTAATTTTTTTATAAATAGATTTAAAATAACAAATAAGGTAATAATCTTAATATTTTGTAATACAACCTTTTTCTACAATAACGACTTTCTATGCAAACTTTTGCATTGTCCTGGAGATTGGGGTTGTTATGCCAATCTCTAATAAGGGTTTCTATCAATTGATGTTCTTAGTGATAGGAGTTTTTTTTTGACAATTTCCTGCTTTGCGAACTCTTATAGTTTTTCTATGGGGTTCATGTCAGCTGAATTCCCTGGCCAAAGCAAAACGCGCACATTTTTTCAGTTATGAATACTGCAACACTCTTAGCTTTATGACACAGTGCCGAGTCATGCACTAACATTTACCAGGTAACCTCTTCATTACCAGAGAACCATTTTTGGGCCTGGAACAGGAGCCTGTTTTCCAGCACTACTTTTCCATAAGAGGTGGAATTTTTCTCTTGAGCTTCATCGGGCTAATGAGCTTTTGTCCACCAAGATTTGAAATGTTGACTTGTCCAAGAAGCAGACTTAAAAACATTACAAAGATATTTTAAATTATAAAGCTATAATATTTTGGGTTTTTACAATGTTATAAGTCATATTTTCTCTACTCCAATCTTCAATAGTCATTTTTTGGTGTTTTCATGGCTTTAGTTAAACATCTCCAAACCATCCTTTTGGAGATCCCTTTATTGTTTATCATTGGAGCTAGTTAAGTTGTACTTTTTTTTTTGTTTTAAGACAGATGTTGCTGATTTTACAGTCACAGCGTGGAGTAGTGATCTTTTCTTGGATACTTCTAACGACGCAGTCTAGTTTTAGGGGCACACTTGTATCAATTTTTCTTTTGATTCAGTTCACTACTGACTTTGAAGCACTTGCTGTTATCTTTTTCTGAGAGTGTGTGGAAGGAAGAAGGAAGGTTTTTACTTCCCTACATTTTCTTGGGGTCAAGTCTGAAGACTTGCCCAAACTAAAAAAATTCATGATATGTTAGAATGATTACAAATCAGGATTTATGTATTAAAATTATCAAAAATAATGAATTATTAACCATAACTATTTAAATTGTTACTCAATACTTACGTTTTGATAGTCCTAAAATCAAAAACTTGCACAAAGTTGTTCTAAAAATGAGTTATTAAATTCAATTTTGAACTAACTCCAACCACACTTTTCAACAATTGACAGCTAAATGAGTAATGAGCTAACTTTTTGATAGATTTTGTGGACTGAAAGTATTGCCACTATTTAAAAACAATAATAATGGTATCAGTAACTAAAACACACAAGAGAAATTATTTAAAAACAATATATTTGCTTGCAAAATTCATTTAAGCTTTAAAATTACAAAAAAAAACTGTCCTTAATAATTTGGCCTCCCACTGTATATATACATATATATATATATATATATATATATATATATATATATATATATATATATATATATATATATATATATATATATATATATATATATATATATATATATGTATGTATATATATATACATATATATATATATACATATATATATATATATATATATATATATATATATATATATATATATATATATATATATATATATATATATATATTATATATATATATAGATATTTATATATATATATATATATATCTACTATAGCATATTTATATGCGCAATTGCTCACTTTTTTTGCTAGCCTAAATTAAGTGAGCATTTTTAGAAAATGATGAGGGAAAACGAAGAATAATGAATGAAAATGTTGCTGACCCATACCAAACCCTCAGTCGATGTAGCAGCACTCCACGGTGAGTCAGGCTATTTCTCAGTCGATGCATGTGCTGAAGCCCCTGGTAGCAGGCTATTTGACATTAGGTGAGTATGACATCATCATGCTCACCTAACTCAGCAGTATAAGATTAAAACATTTTTCTGCTGTTTTACAAAGTTATATTCTTTCTTTTAAATAGTGTTAAAAATTGACAGTTTAGTGTGGCTTAGTGGCAGAAATGGTTAGCTTGCTGCACTTCTGAAGTACAATGTGTGTGTTCAAATCTCTTCCACATTAATTATTATAAAATCTATTCCATTTTTCTAAAATACAAATTAACATTTCTAAAATACAAATTAATATTTTTAAAGTTCTATTGTTGGTATATAAGGATATAACTACATACTATAATATACTATAAGAAACAAAATGGAGATATAAGGATATAATGGTATATAAGGATATAACTATAAGAAACAAAAGGGATAGAGTTTTTAAAAAGCTTAAATTGCAATAAACACCAAAACAGCGATAGAGATACTTAAGTTGTTAATGTGCTTAGGTAATTAGTTAAGTCTACCCATTTAACACACATTAAAGAAACAGCTTTTTTTTATAAGAAAAAAGATTTAATATTCAAACTTATTTTCTTCAAAATTAAATAATGGGGGGAGGTTCTTAATAAGCTGCGGATGTTCTGGAAAAAAATTTAATAAAAACTTAATAGAAACTTGAAAAATTGACTGTTTCATTATTCACTATAGTATTGTTAGAATTTGCATGTGCACATGGGAGATATTGTGATTTAAGTGTTTTTTGGACAAAAACTTTTGGAGTATAGCATCCTTTTTACTTTACAAAGAAAATAGTTGTATGAAAAAAAATTATTGTGAAATTCCAATCACAATTGGTTTACTATTTCCAGCCAGACTTTTTTTCAATAGTTGATGTTTTTCAGGATCTATAGACTGTTTATTGAAAAAAAGGCTTTTGGGGTAAGTTGGCTAATAGCATTTACTATGGAAAAAAATGTATATTTTTATAAAATTAGTTTTTTTATTTTTTTTTATTTTTTGCAATATTAATCACTATAATTAAATCACAATATTAAAAAAACTTATTTAAAAAAAAAAATTTTTTTTTAGGTTTTTTTTTCACAGATAAATAGTTGGCTATTGTTTTGGCTGTTATACTAATATTTGGTACCAGCTAAAAGTAATAATAATAATATAATATAATAGAAAGCTGTAATAGTTCGAAAACTACAATTGAAATTAATGGAAATTAATTTCAGTTTGACAGCATATACATTGTGTAATTATTCTAGGTAAATAAATTAAATTATAAACTATAAACCATGTAGCTCTAGGTATTTATCAGATTTTTGAATAAGTTTCACTTTCACTTTTGATGATAAAATCTGGTAGTTTGTTCCACATTGATGAAACTCTATTAGTTAAAAATTGATGACGAATATTGCAGTTTTTAACTATTTTCTTCTGATTTTAAAGTTATGGCCCCTTGTGTTGGGCTGATATGAGGCAAAAATGTTACAATATT